AAGAGGGGTAATCTTATATTACCGAAGCGACTTACAGTGCGAAGCCGTGGAGGATTCCGACTCGCAGTTCCCCGGCTGTCTTTGGTGCGGCTTGCAATTACAAGGCAGAGACACTTGCCTTATGGTATTCGTGTACCGCCCTCCTAACTACACCCGAAACCGACTACCACTTAGCGGCTACTTTAAGATGCAGTTTACAGCGAAGGTACACTCACATACTTATCGTGCGTGATTTCATCGTACATTGTTTAGAAACGCTTGCCACGATCAAAGAACAATTCAAAGCCGGTCTACAAGATCTCCTAACCACTGTTCCACTTTACCATCACGTTGTTTTGCCCACTCGATTCAGAACAGCTAACAGGCCATCTGTGCTGAATCTTGTGCTTACCAACGAGGAGCATATGATTGATGCGTTGGTTTTAGACTGCCCGCTGGGTCGCAGGTATCACGCAGTGATCAGTTTCACCTTCGTCTGCTATGCGGAATGTCGGAATGAGAACGATGAGACTGTCTGAACCATCAAAAGCTACAATCGATTAGTCCAGGTCGTCAGAGCTACAACTTCGTCGTTCCTTGACGAAATACCCCCGGAAGTAGCTTGGCTCGAGTTCATCAACAAATTCAGTCAGATGTTTGCAGAGTCTTCAGAAATAAGCTTTTACAATGAGTGAAAATCAGTTTCTTTCGTTAGGAGCAGAACTTGAAATTGCTGATAGTACGCAACACAGCATTGCGAGTGTACAGAGAAGCTCCAGCACCAGAAAGTTGGAACAAGTACGTAGCCCGAGGTAACCACCGCACTCAACTGCTAAGAGAAGACAAAGCTGCTTATCATCAAAACATCGCAAAAACCAGTGCTAACCACTAACTGCTGTACAAGCGGGTCAATAGCCTACGAAAGGTGAGGTAAGGTTTTCCTCCACTCAGGACGGCCAATGGCCCAACAAGAACAGCTGTGGAAACAGTACACGCGCTGCGGATGCAATATGCCCCACGTTTCAGAGAGTCTTGCCACTAAGCGATCTTCCAAACTTTGTCGCCTTTCGGTCAGAACTAACGCACATCGTATTGCAAAAGTTGACGTCTCTACGCAAACACAGCTCGTCGGGTGTCGCCACCATTCGTCCAGAGGCACTAGAAGCAGCGGTCATACACGAATCTACTAATCGCACGCAGCAGTTGGACCGAGTCAGGTGACGCTGGAGAAGGCGTTGATGTGATCTACCTGGATTTTTTGAAGGCTTTCGATCTTTTAGACCACGGGATGGTACTCTCCAAGCTCCAGTATTACTCCAGTATTACGACTCTCTTTTAAGCTGGATTGCCAACTTTCTACTTCAACGGCAATTAGTGGTCAGAGTTCGGAGCTCTTTATCGGACCGCAAGGCTCAGTTCTTGGTCCACGTTTGTTTTTGGTGTTTATTAATGACCTTGCATAGGGAATCGCTTCAAACATCCTAATGTTTTCTGACGATATCAAGATTAGGCGCAGGATCCAGGTGAATGCCGACCAGGATCTGCTTCATAGTGACCTATAACATTATATTTTCGGTAAATTGCATGCATGACTCCTGAGTGGAGATTTACAACAATTTGCCGAGAAGGGGCGAATGCCCCGGCATAATAATAATCATTGGTTTTAAGTAGACTTCAAAACTTTGGGCGGAACCGCTTCCATGGTCACCGTGTGTTTGTGTAATCCGACACTGAATGTATGAAATATCAGGTTGTGGGAATCGTTTTAGGAGGACTGGGAGGAAGCTCCCCTCATATATGTACCATATACCATCAGTGATAATCGGAGGGTGGAGAAGCAGATATCCGAGATGTCGAGTTTGGTAAAGCCGAGAGTTGATAGGTATTTCGCCGAAGCCGGATATATAAATCCCCGATTATTTAAGATAATTGGATGGTGATAAATCTCGCGTGTCTTGGGGAATTGTGCGCTTATATACTTCGAGATCACTGATGCGTTATTTCCGGAGCCATATTTGTCGACCTTCAGCTAATGCGTACGCGCCATGCGGTCTGCGTCACAAATTCCGACATCCATGACGTGCACCGATGATCCCTTTACTGCGATTATATCTGGCTTGATGAATGAGGTCGTTGTTGGAATTCTTGGTTCGAGAACGATGTTCACAGTATATCAATGGTCAACCCAAAATTTACTACATTTCAAAGGCAGTAAATGCAAGATACATTCCATCCGACGTCAGAGCAGCTACTCATACCGACTCGGAATGAATGTACTGCAACAATCAAATGTCGAATGTGACTTGACTGTACTGGTTGCTCCAGTCAATCCGAAAAAACCTCGAAGACCGGGAACCAACACGTCGGGCTGTTGCGACGAGCGTTTGGACAAATAAACAGCTCCATATTTCGACAAATGCTCAGTGCGTATGTTCGCCCCCACGTCGAATACGCAATTCAAGCCTGGCATCCATGGCTGAAACACGACCTTAATGCACTGGAGCAGCCACAACATCGGGCATCCAAGTACTTACTTGGAAGACGCTATCTTTTAAACCAGGAGAGGCTACAACAATAGGGTATTCGGTTGACGCTATCACACATTACGAGGCGACCTGATTATAGCATACTTGATTCTGAAAGACCCACATCATGTGCGCCGCCCTTTACTTCAACTCAGCAACAATACATACCTGACGGGCCACTCATTGAAACTCGCAGAATAGTATAGCGGTTTGGAATGCTGCAGAAATTTCTTTTCCATTTGTGTATGTCACCCGTGGAATGCTCTCCCGGAATCGATCGTCTCTGCACCGACACTAACAGTATTTAAAAGATGGTTGGATGACGCAATCATCCACTTACATTTTGTCACACAGCGCTACGTCTCCATGCTACTAAGGAGTTTACCATGTATTTATTTGATGTTAACTGTAGGTGCTGTGAATCTACGCGGATTGCAGGACTACAGCGGACCAAAGGATATGTCCTTATTTTCACATTTAAAATACTAACTGTGCTACTATTACTATTATTATTTTCGTTGTTATTATTCTTATTTTGATATCCCTACCGACTATCCAACGGGACTTGTAATGCAACGCTTCTTAAACCGTATAAATTCATTGTTTATTAATGTTAACTTTTCTGGTAGTATCCCCTGTTCCGTAGACACTCTCACGGGCACGTGCTTGTCACTTCATCAGTGGACCCACCTACAAACCCCAGTCTATTTCTTTACCACCGATCCGTATGTGTCGACCAATACTCGTTCCATACAGTGGTGCGGGATTGTCTCCCAGATGTCTATCACTATTTAATTCCTACCTTCATTATATGATTCTGGAAAATGTTCGGGACTTTGCATGTCTAATCCCTGTTAATGTGGTAGTGCATATTATTCCTTTCGTGGTGGGTCTGGACTGCAGTATCTAAAGAACTCTTCACGCACCCATTTGAATCCGGTATAAACGTAGTGAATCCACACTTTTACAACATACTACTGGTCCTATCGTGGAATCGCTCCTTATCAACGTCATACTGCTAGAGACCGCCAATGTTTTTCCTAAATACGTTACGATGAATAACACAGACCTCGGTATTCCAGCGCGTACCATAAGGAACTGATTTTACGATGCACTTTTAACAGATAGCTCCTATTTGATGGAATATGCTACAGGCAAATCAATGATGTGGCGATGGGCTTCCCTATATAACCGTTTCTTGATGACGTTTGCGAGGCGAAGCTTGAATGTGGACTTCTGCAGCCAATTATCTAGTTGCTTGATCCATACCGCTTTTATTTGGATGATTAATTTATTATTTGCGATTCGGACCTAGACGTTTCGAGTCTATTGGCCACATTTAATAGGACACACCATCATTACATTTCACTAGTGAGTTCGAAAGCGAAGGAAGCGGGTCTTCTGGATGTCTTGCTGAAGTAACGGAACGATGGTACGCCAGAGCTAAGCGTTTTCCGGAAACTTACATGTGTCAACCCATGCACACAACGTTCAAGCTTTGTACCTCTACACCACCAGCGGAATTTTGTTCTTGGTTTGTGTCATCGTGTCGCCAGAATCCATAGTTCAGAGTAGTTGACTGACGAGAAAGATTTTCTCCTCAGGACGTTACAAGAGAGCTGATACGCTGTTCCGTTTAGCAGAAAGCATGTAACGATATGTGTTTCCTGGAAAGCTCCGTGACCCTACCATAAAGACGTGTTTCTCACAGTTTCGTTCGAAGAAAATGCCATCCATGACTTAATGAAGGGGAGACTCCCAGTCACAGTGGCGAAAACCTACCTAATTGCCTACCCACCTATGTTTGCGAAGAATGCATCCTTTATTACACAACGCCCCAAGTATAGACTCCCGGTCCAGTCCAAATCCTCCATTCTGTATCAGTTTAATTGCACTTGTAATGCAAGATAACTTAGACACACGACCATGCATTTGTCAAAAAGGACAGCAGAACAATGTCCGAGGTCGCTACGAAGAGGCACAGCTGGAAGCAGTAGCAGTACTCTCATGGAGCATTTGCACCTAAGCGGACATGAAATCTAGATAGTTGGTGCCTTTAAAGTTCTTTGTTCTGCCCCGCCAAGTCATCCTGACGCGCTCAATATACATTTGTGAAAGACGGCAGAAGTGATCGCCATCAAACCGAATTATGTAAACAGAAGGCTCTTTTAAAAGCTCTCCTCATGCCTTGGCCCTGCGGCAATTCCCTGTTGTATGACACTGCTAACCTACCGTCGATTGCGAGGCCTGCCCTAGTGAATCGATCTAATTCACTGGTCTCGTTTGTACGCTTGTTGGTTGACAGCCTTTAACCCAGTTCCTACATACCCTGTTGCCTGAATTTTTCAATTAATTTAATAGTCTGATGAGCAGTATCCAAAAAGCTCTTCCCTAACTGGACTCTTTATACCAATTTTTCAAACTTTGCGTCAGGATGGTGGTGTTTTGCTGTCTGCAGAATTTAGAACGTTATCAAGAAATAAGCAGATTGTAAAGTCAGCGACAAACATGTGAATTCTGTCCATCAATACATAATCATTTTTCTATGGTACAGTGATTAATATTGCCAGCAAGTTCATCGACCTACTGACATCGTTTGTACCGGTCAGTATGAACACGAAATGAGAATAAGTAAGAATATTTAATCAAAGAAAATGATTGCCCGAACAAAGGTCGGTATCTGTGCGGCTGGCTTCTGATTATAAGTGAATCCGAGCATCATTTCACACAAAATCCATTCAAAGTGTATATACCGATCGCCTGCTGGCGACGGTGAAGCTTTGCGGTAGATAATCTCAAGGAAGGCACCGGCACAATAAGGCACATGGCGAATGAACTTAATATTACTTCTCTGAGTACGAATATAAAAGTCATAGGTTTAGTGAACTCTTTTAGGTTGAATGCCACTCAGGAAAAATGAGCAAAATGGGTATTTTTGACTCTGGGAAATTGCGAAAATTGCTCACGAGCCTTTCGTCGTGCATATGCATTGCGTGCCTCTTCGATGATTAGGAAGTTTTTCATGTTCTCTCGTTTCATAGTTGCATCTTCCACTTGGACACACACACTGGATGGAAACCAACCCTTCGATCCGTCCGGTAGCATTCCCTTGCACCAACCTGTAATCCGTGATAACAAGAGGTGAGATTGTCGATGTTTCGTGCCAGATGCAAATCTTCGAATCATTTATAGTGTACTAAATTCGTCGAAATGCAGACAGCTGTGGTAGAGTTGAGTTATTTTGACCAGTGCGAAATACTTAGGTCAGGGAAGTAGCACACTGTAGGTGCTATCAGTGTAGCAAAACTACAAGCTACGTGGTGTTCACTGCGTTCAACTAGCTTTCACGTTCTAGCGCCATCTGAGGCTCTCGATTCGCACCGTTCCGGGCGCTTTTAGCTTTCACTTTGTCGAGGTTTACTTTGTATCTGCTGGCAGCGCCATCTCAACCTGTTTAGCGGACACTGTCTTTATTTACGGTGTTGCTTTGGACTGCTCGCCTATGGTGCCTCACGGTAAAATGGTGGGATTTGTATCATGTGTATGGTATACTATTTTGCTTGCCACCTCGCAAGTGATCCACTTCGAGATTTCATCTGGCTTGTGCGGTTAAGTGTCCTCAACAAGGTTGCGTTCGATACCCTTACTTTAATGTCATTGGATCGTTATTACATCGTACATTAGCAACTAAGTGAGAAATAACAACGCTGTCTGGTTTTGTCTCATCAAACACTTCTAACAGGTAACAGGACTCAGTGTATTTTGTGGGCTTCGTATGATTATTCTACAGCTGCTCACTTGCTGTTTTCTGCACCGCCGCTATTTTCATTACGCAAATTTTCCACTCTGCAGTTGAAACGCCCTATCTAGTGTATATATATCAGATATACACTATATAGTATGTACATATATATGGTGTACATGCAGCATATTGCGTACGCAGAGGTAATGTACATTTTTCGGCGCATTAGCATCATTACGCAACACTATTTCCTCAGAGGTGATACTTTCCGATGTTTTTTCGTTTCATAACCTACAGAGTATTCTCGCGCTTTAAGACTGGATTGTCCGTTACGCTACAAGTGCACAATGGGTACTTTGGAACACAAATATCCATTCCACTAATGCTGTATATTTAAGGCCTAACTGGTTGCATTCTATCGTGCATCACCTAGGGAAGATAATAACTGACGTTTTCCTAACTTAAGCCAACGTTTGAATTCACGGCACATTTTTCACAAACCGGTATCCTTTGTACCGCCGGCTTAGCACCGGGTTGATGGACCCACCTGCAGCTTCAATCCATCTGTGGCTCACTGCGTTTATGCTGGTATTAATCTGTTTCGGGCAACTTTATTTTCAAAGTTTTAATATCGAAGGATAAAATACCTACTTACTACTGTATTGTGGGGCAATTAGAAATTGAAATCCGGACAACCACATCGAAATGCGATCAACAACATTAAAATACAGCAATTTCCTATGTCCTGTAAGCAATTTGCCCGTTTTTTGATTATCCAACATGATATCATCAAAACCTATAACTCAGAGTAATGTTGAACTCACGGGTGTGCGATATTAATGCTAATTGGTTCTCATAGTCTTACACTTGAGTAATGTACATTCAACGATGTTTTGAACTATTGCACCGAATTTGATTCCGCTACAAGCTCCAGCTAACCGTTCCAATCATCGTCAACTAGCCGCTCAAAGTCCAGAGGTAGGGAACTCGCTTCAGATCTGACACCACATTCTTGTGCTGGTTTCTTGTGTGCTGCAGGGTCGTAATTGGGGCAGTGGCTTCAACATGCGAAATCACCTAGTTGTCAAATACCCTAGGTCATGATGATGCGGACTCGCACTTGACGATAGGAGTCCCAGTCTCTTACATCCTACAGTAAGCCCCGTAGAGATGGTATGAGTTTGGCAGCGACGTATCACACTCATTCCATCCTCTGCGCCTCGCTTCGGCTGGTCAGAAGTAAGCGGACCAGCAGTACTCTAACATTGGTTAAGGTGAAGAGGCGAATGATAACCACTTCATATTTGGTGCAGGATCTGCGTTTCAGCGTTCAGAGCATGCGTAGTGCGTTTCGGTGTCGAATACTTGTGAGGTCCATGAACTTCATCGCAGCGTGATAGTACACCTAAGTCATTGACTAAAGGTGTGGGATGCAGCATTTCGGCGTCAAGGGTTTATGTTCGGCCGACAACAACCTTTCCTTGGTTCATGAATGCCGAATTGTTTGGGCTAACCGGGAGGCGGACTTCTGCAGACCGCCTGGAGATGTGGTTGAGGTGGTACTGACTGAACTAGGCCGCATTCGTCTAGGGTGTTAATCACCCTCCAAATTTTAAGATCGTCTGTAAACAAGGCACACAACGACTGAAAGAGCTGAGGTAAAACGATACTGGTCAGGAACACAGCAGACCCCACTAACGTACACTGGGACACTCTACGGAGAGATGTAACTCAGCGAGATAGCCATCGACTTGTACCCTCCACTTTCGTCCAGCGAGAAACTATCGGATCCACTTTTCTAGTGAGCCTCCAACACTGCACACTATCAGTTTGCCTTGGAGGACCTTGTCAAACGCTTTGCTAAAATCGAAGTAAATCACGTCGAAAGACTTCCTCTGTTTCACTGTCTGCAACCACTCATGCCTCGTCACCAGGAGGTTGGCAACGCATGAACGACCTGACATGAAAACGTGCTGTGCGGACGTTAGAAGACCTTCTGACCGGAACAGCTGTAGCAGACTCTTCTTCACGTTCGTCTCGGTAATCTTGGCCAAAATTTTAGTGAGGCAAATTGAGCAGTAGTTGCCTACTTTGCTAAGTCACCATATTTCGGAACCCGTATTACCACCGGGAATTTCCAATCCACAGGTAACTAACCTTCGGACAACTGCCTGTTGAGTAGGTCAGTCAGGACAGGTGAGATGACGGCCAAAGGGCTTGGGCTTTGGTGGGTGGGGCCCGTCAAACCTAACAGGCTTGTCACGAACAGGCCCAATACCAAGAAGCACCTGCCAGACAATCCTTTGTTAGTATGTCCAACAGAGTTCACATAATAAGGCTAAAGTTAAGCTTCTAAAGGTACTCAACCGCCCCATCCTCGAGTGCTGTAGTATACTATACCATAATATGGGAAAGAGCGGCAGAATTGCTCTGGAACACCTGCAGATGATTTGCTAAACATCTGATCGGTAAATACTCTGTGGTGAATTATTGAGAGCGTTGAAACGAACTATAACTCGAACCAATTGGGATGCGATGATGAAAGCATAACTCGATGTTGCTTTACAACCTGCTACACAAGGAACCTATTCCGACCTGCGTACACTCGAGCTCCAACCCAGCTCAATTCGATAGCTTCGCAACAAACAGTATACACTGGTTTTACAGATGGCTAGAACGAACAGCTCTCAAATTCCTTCCTGTTTAGATATACTTATCTGTGGAAGAAACTGCCAATCACACTTAGGTTATGTGATAATGAGGCAACATTCACTAACAAGCTGGCAAGTAATCTTGACATGAACACAATAATGACTATTGGCTATAGACTTGAAGACTGGTAGCTCAGGTTGTTCAGATGGCGGTTGGACCGTTCACTGAGCTTGGCAATTTTGTTGCAAACGTCTGGTCACCAATCGAGGTGACATCATCAGTGCGTAGTTGAGTGGCGTGCAGCAGCTACTGCACTGATGATGTCACCTCGATTGGTGACCAGACGTTTGCAATAAAATTGCCAAGCTCAGTGAACGGTTCAACCGACAATAATGACTATATTTTCACATGGGATAAATCACTCAACACGCTATACCAAGCAGAATCCAAATCCGTCTAAGCACTCATGTTTCCAAACCTTGGTTTTCGCCTCATCCATACACCAAAATTCTCTTACATGCTTCTCACGCTTCAATATTATATATAAGCATATAGCCCAGGCAAGAACATGGCTACTTTTATACATACTGATCTGTACTGTTACAGACAATTTTCGGATTTTGAGAAATATACATTATTATTATTATTATTATTAATTTAGTTAACACAGTTATTCGATACAACCATCCAGATTATTGGGCTTGGTAAGGACGGTATACGCCGAATTTGGTATCGACCCCTGGTCATCGTAAACACGGATTCAAGTTGTGCAGCTATCACAGACGCAAGGTCAGTGCTAGAGGTTAGAAGTATTACGTCCGAATCTTCTATCAGTGGTAAGTCACCTGTCTGCTTCAGGCGCCGATTCACATGAACAGAGATTTTCTTTTGGACTTTTTTCGCGAAGTTGCGAGCTGCCCTTCGAAATGTCCGCATTTGCTTGTTTTTGCACTGTTGCAACTAATTCGCTGCCTCTTATACGCCTCGTAGTCGTTGGAATAGCCAGGGATCAGAATTTGGTCCCACAATCTACACCACCACCGAGGCAGTTTCTCTTACTCCTTGTCGAACCCATGTTGCTTGGCCGGCATAACTTTCAACAGTTGTGAGGTAAAACTGGTCAAACAATATGGTTACCCCATCCTTCGTAACTGACCTGCAAGCTTCCATAAACGTCGCTTGCAGCAAAGCCCAATCCATTTGGCTCGAGTTAGATCATGGAATTCCGTTTTCCAGTAATTTCTATGTTGGCTCCAGTGCATAGAAATGCTGCGGGGGCAGTTCCGTGTTGGCAGTAAGAACTGAATGGTAACTCGCTATCAGAGCTTCCAGGGTCTGGCCGTCATCCTTGTGTTAACCACCAGTTAATTTCAAGTTTAGTTAGGACGGATGTGAGCGTCTGCCAGTTGCTTTGTGCTGCTCCAGTTTCGAGTACAATTTCAGTGAACTTTAGGTCGGGCTCATAATATCCGGAGATAAGTGGAACTTCAGACAAGCGTATTCGAGGACAGTTTAACTCGCCAATGAGTAGAAAACGTAAGCGACTCATATGGTTCCGGCGATGCGTAGCTAGTCCATACAACGGCTCAGGGACTGTGATAAACTGCACCCAGAACAGCTCTCCGCACTTGAAGTGGATCGCGCAACACATCTGCTCACAGAAGCCATCGTCGTTTCAGTAGGCGCTCATAATTTTCCACCCACAGAGAAAACCGGATGTAGAGC